CGTCATATTAGAATATAACCGACGAGTTCTCATTGGATGAAAGATTATGTACATTATTTTAATATCTTATAGGAAATAGTCATATTTGATGATTTAATTCAAACAAATATAATTATGTACAAATCGCATGCTGGTTATCCGCCTAGAACTAGAATTTATTCGGCCGATAGTCGAAGACATTGCCATCATTTAAGATACTGAAGTTCATTTTTTTTATAGATTTAATAAAAATCACAGTTAGGTGAGAAATAGAAAGTCATAATATGATTAAGTTATCCACAAAACATAAATATAGCATGAATTCATTTAGAGGATTATAAAGAACACATATTAGCTAAGTTTATAACACTAACTGCCAAGGTGAATTAGATAAATTGCCAACTGAATAATTATTAGTTATTTTAATAATGTGTTGAGATAAGTAGCGATATAAGGCACTTGGCAGTTTAAGTGGTAATACATATATCAAATTGTACTTTATAAAACCTATATTAAAAATATTTATAATACTCGTGTATTGCTTGTTAATTGATTATTTTGATCTTGTTTAACTGTTCAACAAGATTTTATTCATATCACAGACAAAAAAAGATAAATAAATAAAAACGTAGCAGTGTCTTCTGACTAGCCCTAATTAGTAAAAAAATAACAAAAAATTCAAACATTTCTTTGGAAATACATGAACACTTTCGGTATGTTAGGTTTTTTCAGCAAATATTTGAATACCATTTGCAACATTTATGTAAAAATGATTAGTTGTGGATTTTACAGATTTTCATACTTTTAAAAAACCTATTATCACATTCTTTGAGAGAACGATTAAAAAATAAAATAACAAATATTATTAAATTTCGATGTAAAAAGTATCAAACATAATTTATTTTCACAATGAGAGTGTAATAACTATTTTAATGCTATACAGTGTGATTAAAAAATATCTCAAACAAACTCATATAATAAACAAAAATGAGGTAGGCAACCAACCTCCGAACACGCTTAGTCATAGATATGTAGAAAAATAAAATATCTAGAAATGAAAGAAATCGTTTTAAGAGTTTACCTGCAGAATTATGATCACTCTGTATATATATTGTCTTTGAAAATAGTAGAAAATATAAAAACAAATTAAAATGAATATAATTTTAAAAATAATGAGACAATTTAAGAAATCACTTTAAAGAGTTTATCTGACGAATTAAGAATCACCCTGTATATCTAGTCTTCAAAAATACATAGTAGAAAATGTCATAAAAAAATCAAAATGAATATAATTTTAAAAATAATGAGACAATTTAAATGGGTACGAGATAGTATGGGTACGAGATAGTTTGGGTACGAGATAGTTTGGGTACGCCGTTTTGAAAATGTAAACCCGTTGGTCCAGAGTCCATAGTTATTGGGCTCGTTAAAAGATCCTTTCATCTGGTTGGAACCTGACTATTCAGCAAAATTACTGGTATGGGTGCAACGTAATCACCAACGGAGGTATAGGGGGAATAAATAGAATAGATCCCAGATTATGTTCTGCCTGTCTTAAAATGCATTTAAAAAAAGCAATCTACAGAAACATTTCATCCACGTTATCAATTAGTTTGAGAAAATAGGTTTAGCAGTACCTATATGCTCCCTGGAGGATGCACAATTGGCCTAATAACGCCTACATGCAGTGAAGTTGAGTTCACCATCTAAATTCAGATCTAATTTGAAAAATATTATTTTGATCCGAATTTTGACTTATCGAGACAAAGTTAAGAAATTAACCATTTTGTATTGTTGTATTTACTAATAAAGGTAGAAACGCCCTACCTTTTATGCCACTTTATAACCTTTTAGTAGTAAATAAATTATTTAAAATTGAATGCATTAGATATAAAAACGATAAAAAAAAAATAAATAAAAATATGTCTCAAGGGAAAATGGAGAGCAAGAACTTACTACACTATTTAACAGACAATGCATAACAATAAATAGAAATAACAAAATATTAAGTTGGTCACCAAATGGACACTGACTAGAGCATAAAAAAAAAACTTTAAAAAATGGATGTAAAGAGCAAAACAACGACAGAAAGTGGTTGATACGCAAAACAAACACAAACTTGGAAGAAATGATAGATAATTGAAAGGAAAAAAGAAAAAGTAGAACGAAATGGTCAGCAACATTGACGAAGAGATATTTACAAAGAAAAATTGATGAAGAAATTATTTAATATTTAAATTTTAGAAATATTACAATTGAACCTAGGAGAAATCACCTTAAATATAGTTTTTTTAAAGTCAGTTGAAAAGTAGACTTTATGAGGTATACTCATTATAAATATTCATTAAACCATCAATTATTAACACTTTTAATTAAGTTGGCGACGTATTATTATGGAAAACTTTATTATTTTTAGTTTTACCAAAAAGATTAATAAAAATTTTGTAAAAAAATTATATTAGGGAGCATCCACGTTCTCGCAACAGCTCAACAGTACGGTCACGTCGGGGATGGGTTACCACTTAGATGTTCTACCATAGGACTAGCAGACTAGCTTTTAACCATCTAAGATGTGGAATGCATGCCAGTGAATGATTGAGCTTCCTATGATGGCTCAATGCTTGATATATCATATTATAGCTATTTCAACTATTTTTTAATCGAGTATGGAGATATTACATAAGAATCGCAGTCTGTCAAACGAAGATAGGCGTCTCGATACGTAGAATATCGAAAGATGAGAATCCCACTGCTGATTTATGGAAAAACTACGAGGATCAATGTTTTTTTTATTTTTTAAACTGTAGTGATTGAAATAACCAAAGAGTATGAAGGTGAAGTTTTTCACGAACGAGGGCGTCAAATCCTTCGACATTTTAACCAGATTGCGTGCACAGTTCGGGAATACAACGTAATTAAAAACTCAACTATACGAGTGGTCCAGAAAATTTAACGAAGGTCGTGAAGCCGTTGAAAATGAGTCACCATAGAAGTTCACGGACAAGCATAACAGATGCCAATAATCAAGAGATTTCTAAAAACAATTGGCGCCTGACCGTGAATGATATCGCTGTTGTGACAAACATAAGTCAGGAAAGCTTATCACAGACTGCCTTGAATTCAGAAAAATGTGGGCAAGATGAATTCCAGACTTTTGAAAGAGAATCAGAAACAGCATTGAATAGAAATTTGTCAGTGTTTAGAATGATACGAACGAGAGGAAGACAAATTTTTACATTGTAAAGTTATGTGTGATGAGTCATGAGCACATCAAAATACTCCCAAATCCAAAAGAGCTAGTATGGAGTGCCAAAGAAGTGGGGATTGTTGCCCTTTAAAAGCCAAAACGAAATTGTCGGCTGGAAAAGTCATAACAACCATTTTTCTCTATCTGCCAAAACAATATCGTTTGATTATTTCATTTAAAAATCCACAATTTTAGACAATTTGTCTGTCACTTGTCCTACTACCCCAGGCTTCACTGATATATATGAAATTTTTGTTGGGGTGTAATATCAATAAGAAACTGTATGGTATTGTGATAAGTGCCATTTGAACATTTAATATTCACATTCTAAAATAGGAGGACAAGTACTACTAAATACGTAGATCTTCAAGGCGACTATGTAGAAACATTTTAAGATTGTTTGGTATTTTTATTTTAAATTAATTAATAAAAAAAATCTAGCTTATATTTGACCGACTCGTAATATGGCACTATAACTGTCTTGTCAATGCACAAAATATTAGCAATGTTGCGTGAATGAATTTTGCACTCCAAGGATGTACAAAAAAAAAAAGTAAGTTATGGCACTAATTAGTCCAGCACTAAAATCGATCAACAAGTTATAAAAGTAATGTTATAAAACCGACTTCAAAATCGTGCAGAAGATGCCCTTAAAATTGAGATTTTTTTTTCTCATAGATTATCAGATCCTGACCAATTGTATATGAAACTAGCTTTGAGGTATTCCCTTTCTAACAAAAAAAGAATCATATAAATCGGACAACGTAGTTAAGAATTTATCGCTGAACATACATAAAAAAATATTACGACGAACTGAGAACCTCCTCCTTTTTTTTAAGTCTGTTAGAAAATTGGACTACGCATAACAAAAATACCAAGATAATGAAAAACCTAGCAATTTGAGAAAGAATAACATTATATAAGGAGTACAATAAAGGAAGTAGAACAATACATATATGCACGATCAACAGATATTCAAAGATGTGGCATTATAATGTAAATTACAAAAATGGGGAAAGCTATTCGAGATGCTTTTGACTTTATTAGAAACAGAGATTCATAGATCAAGATGAGAATAGATTTGAAAAAATTAGTAAACTTAAATAGAAGTGGACCCAACACGTTGCATAGCATTAAAAGTTGACAACTGGTTACTAAAAAATTAAAAACTAGAAATCACGAGAGAATATAAAAGAATAAGAATTAGACCACCAACATGCTGCAGTGAAATTATATGTTCAGCAGTGGACTGAAGACTGAAGTTCTCAATCATATTTTAGAGTAATAAAATGTATTTGTACTTTATGTCAGCTAAATCAATTTTTTTGTTATTAATCATTGCATTTGATGGTAAAAAGCACCATATTTTATTCTTATTCGAATATTTACTGATATAACCACATATAACAATAATTACTCTCAACCAAACTTGCATGTAGTAATGACAAATTCAAGGTAACTATTACAGAATATAAATATTCTTAACAGTTAAAAAAAATATATAGATGTATTTAAAAGTATGTTCTTGTACTGAAAAAAAAATTAAATGTGAAGATACCTGAAACAATGCAGCAAATACTTCCAAATATTCAATACATAAACAAAATATGTATTAATTTAAAAAATATTTATAGGTTTTTGTTTGAATCCTTTCACAGAAATCTAAAAATATGTCATGATTACAAACAAATTTAACATTTTTTTCACCTACTCCTCCTACTAAACTACAATTTTATAGAAGATAACCAGCACGTTTCTTTACCAATCTCGCGTTTCACATATACCGAGGTCGCTTGTGTTGCGTAGGGCTTCCCATTGTGACGTCGGAGGGACTCGCGGGCCTCTTGGTGTGGCGCGCCATCTCTCCAGTTATGAAGGCACACAGGGGAGAAGTGACTAAGGCCTCCCGAAAGGTGCGTAGATTAGGATCAACCATGTCTGTAGCTGCAACGTTTGGCGGCGGAGATATGTTGCGCGGTCTCGGAGACAATCTGAAATTAAAAAATCAACATTATAAATTATCCTCTTCCTTCCAAATAGTCCAGTGTCTGACGATTTTTCGACCCGAATTATTTCGGACTAAACCAATTGCTGTAAAATTTGGACAGTACGTAAAGAATGGTACAAGGAAGACAAATACAGGGTTCCTATCCCAAGTAACATTTTTGTCCACGACCACTTAATAATAAATCAATATTCTACCTCCTAACTAAAAACATATGGTACCCATATATCACTAGAGTGAATTATGATAATTCACGCTTTTGTAATTCTGGCAATTTCCGGTAGATAACTAAAGATGGGCGATACTTTTAATAACGATATTTTCTAGATCGAAAAATCAGAAATTCGAAAAATTGGAAAATCCGAAAATTGAAAAGTCGAAAAATCAAAAAATCGAAAAATCAAAAATTCTAAAAATTGGAAAATCGAAAAATTGAAAAATCTAAAAATCAGAAATTCGAAAAATTGGAAAATCGGAAAATTGAAAAGTTGAAAAAACAACAGTTAGTTACCTATGTTTAATAAAAACTTTCCATTCTACACTTAACTTTTATTTAATAAAGAAACCATAATGGTCGTGGACAAAGTATAGTATTAGACTCGGGTGACTAATGGCTACCATAAATTGCTCGTTTAAAAATATACTATTAAGAGAATAAAGTTTTATTTATGTTTTTTATTAGGATTTTGCAAAAGCATAAAAATTAACAATTATTTTATTTTGCTAATAGGACTGCAGGATAAATTGATCTTATTACTTGGTTTTATAGATTCCTTTAAATATGTTTAAGAAAACTAGTTTATCCTAAAGTAAACTATGCTTTATCGCTGTCCTGTAAGGGTTAATTAATAAGTAATTTATTAACTATTTAGTTTTAAGATACTGCTAAAGTGTGTTTGGTGTTAAAGAGGCATACTTTTAAGCAGTTACCTTAAGTAGGTTTTAAAACTTAGTTTTAAAAAGTGTTTTAGGATTATACTTTAAATTAAATTGATCCCAGAACCTTTTAGGTACATTTTCTACAATTTTACAACATAACTCTTATAACTACATAGTTTTAATAGTTTTAATAAGAATTAAAGTTTGTTTTAGAGCATAACCTAGTTTTTCAACCCAATCACATTATGTTGATGTTGAAAGATAAATTGTACAAAATAAAGAAAAGTGGTAATTTCCATAGAGAATGAAAAAAAATGTATATGTTTCTCCTTTTCCTCAGTGTTTAATAAGTTCATTGTGTTCCATTGTTTAACAAATATCAAAACATTCCTAGGCTCCTAATATTCTGGAAATGATCAGTGAAAGAGAAAAATGGTTAATATAATTACTAATTTGTATATTATGAATGACTTATTCGTAGAGTAAATAAGAAGCTCAAGAGTGAGGTTAGGTTATGCCCGTCTGATTGAACTTATGAATGTTTTATTGAGGTTTTCGTTTTTACTATTGTTTTATGAAACGCTTTAAAAAGTGTAGCAGGAGCTTTTTAAAACTGGAAAGTCCTAAAAAGTATTTTTTTTGCTTTATTAGTTTTATAAGCTAATGTCCGTTTATAGGTACAGATAGAACACAATGAGGAAATCCTCCATTTTAAATATGGCAGTGGCTGTTTAACCACATATGTAAAATAGTACCTGTCTACCAGACCTGTACCTAAAGAATATTCAAATAAATTATGGTCAAAGTTGAAATAATGACGTATTTTGTGTACCAAAGACAGTGATAGTGTGTCAATGACAACAGTGTGTCAATGACAACATTGTGCCAATGACAGTAAATTTATTATTTATGATTGAGTTTACTGCGTTTAACCACATAATGTCAAATTTGTCAAACATATCTACAGCTAATTCCTTTTAGGGTATATAAATGTAATTTATATTGGAATATACTATGTTGTAATGTTATACAACTCTTGTCTCGCCTAAAGTAATTTATGATGAAACACAAAGTTTGTTTCTGATAGTCCAGTAGGTAGTATGCACAATTGAAAATGGTTTTCTGACGATGACAAGTATCTATGCAAAGACAAATCTACAATAGATTTATATTGGCGGTTAAATAGTCACGTCCATGAAATAATTTCAATAATACAAAATGTGATATTTTATATGAAAAACATATCGAAGACAATTGTAATCATTTTATAGTGCTATATATTCGATATTTACAATGTTATTTTCTATTAAATAACTTTCGATAAATAGATTAGAACCCGTATAATAATTCTTTTTCACGTATATTTCATATATTGTGAGGCCCATAATTTATTACGACCCACCTTGCCCACTTTTAACAGTACTTTGGTGTGTGTTTGAAAATTAAAGAAATAACAAGTGTAACTAAACAAATTGAACATACGTTATATAATAATTAATTTTTTTTATTGGTACCCTATTTTACTTATTTAAAGTACGCCTCAGCGTGTTTAAAACGAACTTTAAAAAACGCGCGCGTTTTAAAGTTACCATGGCAACATCAACAACCCGAGAAACGTGATGTCTAAATGCCAACTTTTTAAATATTGATCTAACAGGAGTGCCTTGTAATGTCAAATAAAATATTTCTGAAAAAATTTATTTATCAGCTGAACGTAAATCGCACAATTCACATCTTCTACAAGAGCTAAAGATGCCACAAATAGCAACCACCTTCAAAAATAAATACGTAATGTCCGGTGCATCTGTAAAAAACTTCCGCAAATCGTCTTCCTCGAATACATATGCCTTCTTGACTACCTCATTTTTGCTAATTGCCTTCATGAATGCATGCACTTTGACGAACGATTTTATATCGACCCCTTTGTTTATCCTCAACATACTTTGTAATTTTGAATGGATAGTCCACATAGTCGATACTTTATACTGTTCCGACATTTTCTGGAGATAAGCGAGAACAACTCGTAACCATTTGCTCTTCCATCCACGTGTTGAATTTATCGTACTTTTTTATAAACCGCTTCGGATTTTTGTGGTATTAAGCGCGATTCTGCTTTATTATTTAAATACTCAATATTTGAACTCATTTTAAACAATAACAACTGTTGCGACAATTAATCTTACGTGACAGATTGAAAATAAATTTTTGTTTGTCTCATTTTCATGACAACGAGGTATACTGATGTTACATCACAAATTCAACCATTTTCAGTTATTAGTTCTTATTTCCATTTTTTTGTAGAAATAATACCAATATTTAGGATTTCAAAGTATACCAATAAAAAAAAATAGCATAAAGTATTCGTGGATAACTGGTCTTTAAAACACTTGCTCTATTTCGAGCACTCCGGCTGCGCCGTTGTGCTCGAAAAATCGCACGTGTTTTAAAGACCGTTATATCCACTTATACTTTAATATACTATTCTAATATGGCAGTCTTCCCAACATGTTTACAAAATCATTCTGTCAGAGAGTATGATAAAACAGAATAAAGCTAAAACAGTTTAAAATTGAATTCTCTTAAAACTGATTATTTTTGTAAAGTTTTTATGCCTATCCCACTTATCATTATCTTAAAAAAGATTTAAAAATGGTTTAATAAAATTCTTAATATACTCTTACGGACTTTGTCTTAAGTCTAATTAGTCTTAAGATATTGTTTTAAAAATACTCCTAAGAACCGTTATAGGATTCTCCCTTTTACTCTTAAAGCAGATTTATAGCAGCCCTAAGGGTATCTCGCGGATTGAAAAGTTTTATCAGTGTCTTAAAAAAGGGTTTTATGGTTACTTTGATAAATCTAAAAATGTTAGTTGGTATTTCATAAGGACAGTATTGCCATTTCTTAAACGGTAACACATAGAAAGTTGGTTAAATTGAACTAAATTTGCGCAGTTTTGTGCTCATTAATAATAAATTAATCTCCCTGTAGCTATCAAAGGTTTCTAGACACCATTTTAATGAGCATAAAACTGGGCAACTTTTGCCTAATTTAACCAACTTTCTATCTGTTACGGTTTAAGAAATAGCAATACTGGCCCTATGAAATAGTAGGAACCCTGTATACAAAATATTTATTGATAAAATAAGGAAATGGAAAATGATATTTTGTCACCCATTCGGTATTGTGAGATAGTTCAAACAAAATCGAAATATTTTTTCACAAAATTGAACAAGAAAATGATAGTCTGTACTTTTAAGGACAGCGTCTCCTAGGAATTTCTGAACAAAATTATGTCAATTTAGATTCAATCAAGGAGGTGCTGTTACCTACCGACTAGAGATTGAATTAGTGCAAATTATTACAGAAATCTTTAAGTAACTATAAATATCGACCGACTAGCTATTAGGGGATATTGTATTATAAACCGGTTTTTAGTAGACTGAGTTCGAAGGATCATAATAATAGTCCTGAACATAAAACCTATTTTTCAATAATTGCCGGGATTTTACCAAATAAAAAAAAGTATTTCGCGATTGTGAAAACGGTCCAATCGTTTTATATGCCATTTATATTATTATAAAAATGTTAACTCTAGGACTCATTTTGGAGTATGAGCATACTTTATTTCAATACTTTTATTGTACTGTTTCATAAAGTATTACCTACCTATTACATTTTATTTTTATCGAAAATTGACTTTGTTTCCTGGACCAAAGTAAAGAATGTAGGTAGGTATGCAGATGCAAAAACGATATCTTGCCTCACATTAAATATAAATATTTCCTAAAACAAATAATTTGGTTTATATACGAGTAGTAATACGAGGGATGTTTATAATTTCAAGTCACGAATATAGAGTCGTTTCAAAATATATTGCCACAATAATTGCGTCACATTGAGTCGGAGTGGGACGCTTGACGTGTCGCAATTCGCAATATATTTTAAAACTATTCTACCTAAATAATAAATTGTGATTTTGAAGTATCGAATGAAAACTATATTCTCATTGGTTAAAGATGGAAGTTTTTGTCATTTGAATGTTCAAGAATATTAATTGTGATTAATTGGTTAAATACCGAAGTTATCTGTTATCTGATGTTGGTA